CAACAGCAAATCCTAGATAATGAATTAAATTCCCTACCAAAGGTAGAGCCACTAACTCCATCTGCTTCCATCCTTTCACTTAACAGGCAATTGTTCAGGCATGGACAGTGGCTTGATCATGGCTTAGAATGACATCATTGGCTTAACGCATGCATAGCACTGCAAGCAGCACATCAACCCCAACCAACACATACACTTAAAAGTAAAACTGTAGCAATAACCAAACTTTGCAAAGAACTGCTGGCAACATCCCAAATCAGCCTGAAATGCTTTCTGTTTCAGAGCATTTTCATGTATGAACTCAAGCCCTCCTTGCCTGCAGTCTTGGAGAGGGTTGCTCCCACAGTCACTTCCATTTGACCTTAGAGCATGATGGCATCAAAAAAGCTTATGTGAAGTGAGTGTTCTCAGGACTACATACCATCTGTCATAGACTGACCCAGGAACTTGGAGCCTTCCTCAGAGCTCTTCTCCCCTCCTTCTTCATCCACCTGTTCTTCTTCCACCTTATTGTCATTCTCGGACCGATACACTATTATTGACTCCGGCCGGGACTCTTTCTTCTTCTTTTTCCTGCGGTCCATAGTGGCTTCCCCATCAAAGGTGACAGTGGTTGCCACAGCCCTTCTCATTGTGCCACAGCGAGGGCTCTGGCCTCCAGACTTGCTGTCTTTCTGCACAGTCTCCTCCATCCCGCTGCTGCTCTCAGTCACCTCACCTGGCATCTTGTAGCACGTGTTTCCAATCCAACTGCACCAATCCTGCACTTAGAAGTCATTGATTAACAATGGTCCCATGGATGCTTTGTTCTGGTAAGATGTCCCACTGCTGGTAGCCAAACTATGCACTCCATTCCCAGCCTAAAACAAGAGAGAAGGCTGAAAAAGTGTCTTTGTCTTACCAAGTAGAAAAAATTGGCAGAATTTTCCTCAAAAGAGTTACTTCCAGCTGGTTTAAATGTCATCCAAAGATCTCTATTACTGTCCTGAATATCAGTTCTCTTACATGGCTACATATTTTGTGGTATCTAATCTACCTTGATTCTTAGGGTCCAGTTTTCACTATAACAAACCAAAGCTACTGGAAAGAGTATTAACATTTATAAGAAGGGATTAACCAGCCAGCTTACTGGATGAATTTAACATTCCTCTGTAATGCTGGAAACAAACAGAAGACAATAGTTTTGGCCCAAGCCATCAGAATAAAGGACTGAAACCATAGACGAAAAAGAAGTTGACCAATTTAAGGGACTGGCCTAGAAACAACTGCAACAGGAACATTGTGCTTGTCCAGCATTACAACAGCTATATTGGTGCCAGCCTTTCTCATTTTGAACTTCTAATGATTTACTCCCCTCTGCAAGGATATTACAAAAACTAATCAAATTATGTCAAAAAGAGTGATGTTTCAAACTTTAACAGTTTAGCAATATGTAGTGTTGCCATACTTTAAAAATACAGAATATACGGTGGATTTAAAGCAAAATTATTTTTAAGATGACTTTGCTGGAGAGGGAATTGGGAACCACAGCAAATTTTTCTGATTGCGCAGAGAAAACAACACAAGTGCTCACAAATCGTTTTAGCAAAAATAAATTTTTGCTTCTCATTCAAGCAAAGTTAACAGCGATATCAGGTGAAACTGTCATCAATGGGAAAGCTGCCTAAGTAAAAAACACATAATTAAACATGCATTGAGGCAGACAAATCCTGCTTCATGAATATAGAAAAAGGATTAATGGTTCTCAGATTTCATAACATTTAAGGAAACTGACTGTGCCAAATATTCATTAAGCATTTAGGTACAAATCTGAATACAATGAATAGCATTTTAACAACTCTGAAGAGCTCTGTTGAACATTTACATGAACATTTATATTTAAAAGAATGCAAATGACCAATAATTAAGCTTCTACCTAGTAACTGAGTCTTTCCTTTAACAGGAAACTAAGAAACACAAGTATCATAGTTTATAGGCTACATAATGCTGGGGAAATGGTTTTACTTGAATGGCTGACAGAAAAAAGCATTTTTAAATTTGGCAGTATGGTCCTGGTCTTCCCACAGATCTAAGATTTTGCTGGTCTGTTTTGAAATTTTGTGCAGAACTTTAGATCAACTATTTATGCCTGGTACACTCACACTTAAACACACCACACCCACACAAAACTTCTAATTGTATCACTAACACCTAAGACTCTGCCCATTTGGCTCTATGGAGCCTTGAAGAATTCAACAATTCAGATTTTTTGTGCATTAGAGAAAATAAATCTTCCCTGATGCTCAGAAGACACATAAAATGGACTTAAAAACCCCTCAAGATTCAGTATACCACAGAAGCCAGATTACTAAATTACTGGGCAGACAGTATTTTTAGTTCTGCAGCATGGCTGTTAAGAATCTGTTTAGATTGCCATCACACCTGCCATAAAATATGTCTAAATTAGCAGACATACTGGAAAACAGAAGTTCATCTAAGCTTTCATTTATTGGGCTTTTTTTTTCTTTTTGTTTTAATGCCTTTAGGGGTAAATGGAATTAATTTATACCATGGAGTAAACTCATCCTTTGTAGTAAATTAATTCAGGAAGTACAATAGACTCTAACATTTTTCTCTGAAAATCAGCTGTAAAACTTCATGTTTTGCATCTATACGACCTTGAAATTACCTGATTGAGCCTAATGAGCCCCTGAGACAACACTGAGATTCTGCTTCCAAAAGTGAGGAAAACAGGCCTGGAAACAAAAACCAAAAGCATCACTTTTGGAATAATCTACTAAAAGTCTGGAGACACAGAAGTTGATTAGATTCCCAAAGTTCCTGGCTGTAGTTCCATGTTCAGTCCCTACTGACTTGAGAAGGGGATGACTTACAAGTAACTTTTAAAAATAACACAAATCTACAGGCAAATATTTGTAGTTGGGCTTTTTTTTTTTCCCTTAAAGTTGATCCAGCTGTGGCCTTGCTTAAACTGACAGTGGATGATAAGCTAATGTCAGTTCTCAGTGCGATGCCAAAGCCCAAAGGACTATGTCTGCCTTGTCTGTGAAGGGAGCAAGTGAATCTCCCATAAACAGGCACTGGCAATCTGTGTCCTGTTCTTGAGCTCACCACGCAGGCAGAACGCTGATTAATGACCAGAAGATGCCCATGATCCCTGTTGTGATAAGGCACGAAATGATGACACAGACACTGCTGCTCTCGAGAGGAACAAAAAAGAAGAAGAACTTTATTTTCTGACTCCAACATTTATAGTTTTCCAAAGGTGACAGTGGATTGGAGGGTGACAGGGCCACCTCTCCAATGCCACTGGACAGACCAAGGGTCCATCAATTCTCTCTACCTCCATGAAAGAATGCAAAACATAAGTTATTTACAGAACTGTGTGTGAGAAAGTTTGTTAAAAGAATGTAAACATCAGAAGGCTTAACAAAGTCTTACAAAATCAGGGCGACAGATCCCCAAGTTATTTTGCTGTGTCTGATGTTCCTACGCCACTACAGCAGCCACCGCCTCTGTGAGTTACCACCAGGACTAGAAACACCTCCACAGCAGGGTAATCTGAGAGTGGCAGCTCAATTTCTCCTCCTGCTGATAAAAGGAGAGGGAATGGGCAATGGGGGACAAGCCCCTAAGAAGTAGTGTTGCTGTGGCTGAGGCAAAGCCCTTGGGAAAAGAAAGTGAAGGAGCCCAGATTATTCTGTTTAAGGCACAAGAAGGTAAAATCTGATGTCAGTCTGTCTACATGAAAACCCAAAGCATGTAGGAGATCCTTATGACCCAGCAGAGGAGGATGCCGCAAGATAAAAAGCTGAAAGATGCAAATACAGGGCAGATGTTAGGTAGGTGTTTTAACAAAGTGGGTAGGTGTCCCTTGGCATATCACTGGGTGATAAACTGTCATGGGAAACTTCCAAATCTGGACTGGCTGTCTTGGCAGAATTTTTGGTCACCTGTACTTGACCTGAAGAGGGAAAGTCCTCTGGTTTGCATTAAGGAGCAGTCAGATTGAAGATCATAAAGAACCCTCCTGATCTTATGCCTGTTCTCACAGTACATGTTTTTCTCTCATTGGTTTCCCAATGAAGCAGCTAGAATATCCCCTGCCAGCTGGTCCAGAACTTCTGAACACAGCACTTCAAAATATCACCATCAGCCCTAAATCCCATAGCAGTGCTGCTGAGTTAAACAGGTTCAAACCTCAGTCCCATTTTTCCTGGAAATATTTTCTCTGTAGCTGCAAAAAAGAAATGGGCTCTTGCAGAAATCACAGTAGTGTACAAAGAGCTTCATTTTCCTCTCTTCCTTTTCTTTACCACTTCTAAGAATAAGGCTGGCCCTCAGCACTACACAGCTGTCCACAGCACCAGTTCCTTCAGCCACACACCAAAACCTTCACCCTTTAAAAGCCTTGCTATGGAGCTGAAACTTTAACAATTGCTGTGTATCTCCTACTAGTGATGCCCCCCACGTGGGTGAACAGGGGCAGACAGGAATCTAGTAACTATCCATGGGAGGGAAGGAAAAGAAACGGTCATATTTCAGAGATAGCAAGGAGCAGTTTATTAGCCAAACAATTTGTTATTAATCTCCATATGAAAACAGATGGAGAACCCTGGGGAGGCTGCTCTGTAAAAACACTTTGTAGAGTAATTTTTAGAAGCACAGTCTTCTGTTACTATGCAGGAAAGCTACGGCTGCTTATGTTTCCTGTGACAGTAATAGTCTTTGACACACAAAACAGGAGCCTAAAAGCTTGGCCTTGCACCATTTAGGTCAAAGGAAGCTTCTTCCATTGGTTTTCAGGGTTTGATCCTGCTGCTAACAGAAGAGAAATTATCTGGTTTGAATGCAGACTGGGAGGAAGAGCCTTCCTGCAAGCTAATAAAATCCTTGATCTTAAATCCCATCTACAGCACAAGTTATCTTTTTATGACTGCTCAGAGTAGACATGAGAGGAAAAAATATAGACGGTAAGCAGCAAGGAGCATAAATTTTTATTTTTATAGTCACATAAAATGTACAACACATGAGAAGAACTGGCACGGCGTCTTCACTCACATCATGCAGGGGTTGTCTGCAGAAACAAAAAAACAACCTGTGCTTTAGAAGCACTGTGATTTATGCAGGATGGGGAAGAGATGAAGGGAAATGTACCCCAGAGACACACCTTGAGAAAGCTTCCCAGCCACAGATCTTCCTTTGCTTGCTGCTTTTACTCCATAACCTCTGCATCCCCAATCCCATCTCCACTCAACCCCTGCCTCTGATTTTGTGCCCGTGCATGTGTCAATCCCATCTCCACTCAACCCCTGCCTCTGATTTTGTGCCCGTGCATGTGTGTGGTTTTGAGCATGCATGTTACCCAAAGGATCTTTTCCAATTCCTAGTATTTTTAAAGGGGTTATCTGCTATAACTGCAGGGGCAAACTCTACACATGAAAAATAGGTGGTATTAGGTGCATCCAGCTGTACAGGACAGATCTGTCTGCCATCAGCCAATTGTTATGACAAAATGCATTGGTCTAATGCAGAACATGCAGCCCCCAGGCCCTAGAAAAACATGTGACAAGATGTATATAAGAAAGCAAATTTAATTCACACATGATGTAGGAAAAGGGCCAAATGGTAGGGCTCTCTCCACAGCTTTGGATCTGTTTTAAATACCTAAATGACTCCACGTTATCTTTCACATATGCATCCTCACCTGCTAAAACAGAGGATGTCTGTTTCCTCTTTATTTCATGGTGAAATAGATCAAACTAGATTGCACAATTGAAACTAGCAAATACTCAAGGCTGTGATGAATGACATATTAGACACTGAGGCAAGAACAGCTCCTCCCTATCAGTACCAGGTCTGTGCAGCTTGTAGTGAGCTTGACAGGGGGATTTATCTCACTGAAAGGAATAAAATGTTATTTTTAGCCATACAGATTCTTCACCAAGCAGCTCCTTCTACAGGAAGGAATGTCTAAGGAAGGAGGGAAAAACTTCCCCTCCTGGCAGTGGCTGATTTCAGACTGCATTAAGTGTCTGCAACAAACACAAAGGAAAACATCTACCTCTGCCACCCCAGCATGGTAAAAGAAAGCAAACACCCAAGTTCAAAGTTCACACCCATCTTTCCCTCCCTGCTTAATCCACAGGCTTCCAAGCAGTTTCATTTCTTGGAAAGAGAAACAAGTAAAATGACCATGCTCTGGGATGCTTCCAAGCAGGAGAAGACTTTAAGCTGGACTGCCACAAGCAGAGGATAGCACTGAGCACCTGAGCAGAGGGGATAACACAGTAAGATGACCCAAGTCACCAAAAACTTTACAGGTGTTTGCTAGTGGAGCCCCCCACGCTCCATGCTTTCCCCTCAGGAGCAGAGGGTGCTGAAAGCTCAAGCTAAAAGCAAAGAGAGGTGTGGGCAAACATGATTTCTGTGGGCAAGCACTGACAGACTCAAGTTTGCCCAGTCCCTCCAGTTTATCACAGGCACACAGCTCTTGCCTGTTGGCAGGTGCCATTAGGGCCAGCCCTGCACCACAGCATGAGCCAAACCTGCTGTGGCCAGCTCAGCTGCTGACCATCACTGGAGCTACAGCAAGACTGGACTTGCTTGGGTGTGGATTAAGGGCTTCCTGGCTCCCAGGGCCATGCTGAGTCCCTCAGGACCTTTGCTCTCCCTTCCATTCTTCCACGATACACCAAACACTCACTGACAGCATTCTACAGATACAGACAAAACACCCAAAAAAAAAAAAGTAGTGGAGAGATACATTCCATAGTATCATTATTGTTTCTGAATGACATTTTCCAAGGATATTTTTAAAAGTCAAGGACATTTTGCAGAGTATCTGTTTTATGAATCAGTTATTTTTATTTTCCTTTGCTGTTCCATTACTTTTCCAAATGTCACAGAACAATAGCTGCTGTGCAGATCACTTATTACTGAAGACTGGAAGACAGCATACAAGAATAGCTAAGCATTTTTATTTTATTAAATAGAATGCCTAATCAATTTTCTTGCATACCAACTTTTAAAAAATCCCCCAACTATACTAGTTTACCTTTTTTGGAGCAAAAGCCTGACATGCTGTCTTGCCCTCATCTTCTCACTTATTTGAACAGACTGCTAGAAGAAAGAGAAATTGAGATAAAAGACACAAAGCTTCCCACTGCCTCCACATGGATGATATCTGTTTCTTTATGTTTATTATACTATGTTAAAAATGTCAAGGAATGGCATGGGCACATTAGACTTTAAAGAGAACCAAGGTTTTAAAAGGAGCCTTATTTGGAAATGGAAGGTTTGAAATCTTCAAAGCAAACCAAGCATTTAGATATGAGTCTTGAGTAAAGTCAACCAAAGTCTCTAAATTTTGTAAGAAAAATTATATTTCAACTGTAGAGGCATGCTTTCTCTGTTGTCCTGCTCTACCCCTCACTTCTGGATTTGCCAAAACAAGCCACCTTGCATGTCGAAACAGCGGGTGCTCATTGCAATCCCTACCCCATCCCCCAGGTCACTGCTGGATTACACTGTACCATAGGAACATCTGAACAAAGTCAATCCCACCAACTTTAGTCAAACACCCTGCCTCCACAGCAGTGCCTTTAGGCTGGGATCAAGTGTAGCATCTATTTTTATTGGTATAAGACCCAACTTGTCCTTCAGTGGGTTTGGAAGATGCATTAGGAACTGTTGCTGCATACACAAACCAGAGTGCACAGAAAACACCCACACAGCATATACACACTCATGTGGAAGTAAGAAACACTGGGAGTGGCTCCAAAGCCATGAAACACCGGTGGTGGGTGTGAAGCACCTATGCTAACACAGGACTTCTGCTACAGACCTGACTGCAGGGGATGCCAGAGAAGGGCTCCAAGTCCTCCATCACACAGTGCTCTCAAGAGAAGGTTTCAATGCATGCTGGACTCTTCTGACCTTTACAATAACTAGAAGCAAGGACCCTGGTTAACACCTCAGGCTTTTTTTCCTTCTTTCCTACTCAGAAGATTACTGACCATCTCAGTCTCAGTCCCCTTTCCTGCCCTGCTCTGTGCTGGCTGGATCAAGCATCCCAGTCAGTGCTTTACTCTGACAAAATGAGGAGAAACCACACATTGAAACACCTGCAATTAGAGAGGAAGCAGTTGCAGCCATACAGCCTAATGGAAAATAGTCAATTGTAAATCCAGTCTGGAAAGCATTATCTGAAAATACCAACAACAAGCTACACACATCCTGTCCTTCTTCTTTAGGCAAGATATTTGGAGGCTTCAAATCAGAGCTTTCTCTGAGTAACACCTGGCTGCAGCCCAGGAGTTGCTGGAAAGCACAACTACACAGAGAGTGAACTAGAATATTCCCTTGGGAGTGATTCAGGACTGTTTAATGCATTGCACAGTAAATACAATCTAGGATATTTAGACAGTATCTCCAGCAGCAGGAATTACTTGGCTCAGGGGAGTTGTGATTGGATACAAGAGCAGATAGAGACCTGTGATGCCACGATATTAAAAATGTAGCACTTTGAACTGCAGACAAGTGAATGCTTCAGTATCATTAGTATGGTATTAGCAGGGTATGTAATTGTTTAGAAAATCTTTCTATGAACCTGTTTCAACTGTTTGATGCTGATATTCTATATCTTGCACGACTGCAAACTCTGCTGTGAGTGGGATGTCTGTCTTGGTATCTCCTTTTTTTTTTTTTTTTTTTTTTTTTTTTTTTTAAATCACTGGAATGAAACTACTAGGGATAATGATAAAAGATTGTAAAATCCTGATTATCTTCTAATTAGACTGAAATCCCCCAAGACATAGCTGAGAGTAAAGTGCCTTTCCAGAGAGGAAGTCCCTAAAAAGATGAATTGACCAGAAAGCCTGAACATCAGCTGGGCCTGACCAGAGGCTGTTCTGATATGGAAACCAGAAGCCACAAAACAGAAAGGCTCTCACTTGCTGTTGAGAGATGATGAAAGGAAAAGCAGCCTCAGGAGAGAATGTACAGACAGGAGGAGAAAGTAGCAGAGATTTCCAAAGAGGCCTATTGTACAATCCCATGGAAAGGTCTAGAGAGGTAAGGACACAACTCATGCCAGCTTTCATTTGGTTGTGGCTCAATCCAAGCATTTCTTGTAATGGGAGAGAAGAAATTATTTTTGTTACACTTTGTGTGGTTTTTGCTGTCCCAGGAGAAGAAAAATATGAGCCTGGAGCACCAATAAGAGTGGGGTCTGGGAAAGCAGAGGCTACTGGAGCGCAACCCTGCATTTTTCTGAAGGCTAACTAGCAGAAATCCTCTATGAAAAGCTGTCTCTAACCTTAAAATTTTGTTTCTTGCACTAAGGTGCTTTTCATTACATCTCCTCTGCCCTCACCTCCCCGTGAGACTGCTGACCCCAGGCATACCTCTCACAGGGTTTGAATCCTGCAGAGGTTTCTCTCCTGTTTGGAGCCACCTCTTCTCTCTCATCAGGTTGGTACTTAACTACTCTCGAGACCTTTCCCCATGCCAACATGGATTTTGAGCTATAGGAGGGCACAGACACCCTGAAGGATAGCATGCCAGAAGGAATTCTCAAGGCAGTACATATCAGTGCCAGGATTTTTAAAGCATGGAAGCATACTGGACTGGCAGGTGCCATCTGAGCCATAGGCTGGCAAAGCGCAGCTTTGGACAAAAGCAGCCTTTTCTGAAAATGCAGAGTTTCCTATTCATCTCAATAAATTGAACTACTTCATTCAAAGCCAAGACACAATCTGGGAGCTAGGAAATCTAAAAAAACAGGAAATCTAGTTTTTTCTCTTCAATATGTAAATAAAAAAGTGGATGTTCAAGAATGACATATGCTAATCCTACAACTCCAAATGAGCTGACAACTGGAAAAAATGACTGAATTATTTTTTTGTCATTTTGACTTTTGAATGGTTGATGTTTTAAGTGATAGTTATACCAAGTCAAAAAAAGTCAGATGGTTAACTTCAGAAAACAAAACTTAAGACTCCAAAGCTTTAAATGCAGATTTATTTTCTTCCAAATTCAAGCTGACATATACTGAAAAAAAAAAATTAAGCTGTCTAATCAGACACTATTTTCTAACACATAAAAATTCAGAATCTTAACATTAAGTTTGTAGAGTAACATCAATATGCAAAAGCCTTATGCTTACTGAATTTACCATTGTCTGTGTGGAGTGACAGACCGACATGTTTTAATACTTTCAATAAAAGAAAAGTAACATTCCTTTGATATTTAGAAAGTATAAGCAAATGAGAAGACTAAAATTGATTTTAGTTAATAAGATTTTCTTCCTTTCAGATTAAGTAATTTTGAATTTCAATGACTGGGGTCAAATCAATTCACACAAAGGTACAGTTTGAGTCCTTGGTTCAAAAGCAACACACACAACAGTGAACAGAAGCCACTGCTTTGCTGAAAACGTCTGTGAGCATTGGTTATCCCAGCTTTATTTTTTGTGAATACATTTTGTACCAGAAGGGGCTACCCTCCACTGAATGCCAAGGAATGGATGTCTCCTTTCCCCTCCTCCTTCCTCTACAGTCTTGATGCCTTTCTCCTCCTACCCATCACTCACAGAACCCTAACTCGTGTAATAAGCCCCGTATTTATTGCATTTCTGTGGCTACTGGGAAATTGCAGGAACCAAGCAATATATCCTGATAGGGAAGAAAAATTCTTTGATAGTGCTGTCTAGGAAGAACACTGAAGTCAAGGAGGTCACATGAGTAGAAAGGCCCACTGGATTTTCCTTGGAGCCATGCAGCTCAGTTGGGATGGCAGGCAGGCTGGAATATGAAGATCTAATTCACTAGCACAAATGAGTGCTTCTCCCTGGGATTAATTAATGATTGCTCTGATACGGCCTGCCTAAGATATGTAGGGCAGCCAGAGACAGTTAATGGGAATCTGTGAAGTCTCAGATTGTGAAAGATAATTAAAAGGAGGGGAAAAAATTTTTTGCAGTGTCACTCACAGTGCTTCACATTTTGCCCCCAGAAAGTAAAATGCTTTCAACACTGATGGGTTCTGCAAACACTGACCCACCTGAAAATGGCAATTTTGTTTAACAGTTCGTTATTGGCCTAAGCCACCATGCAGAAATGCACCCTTGTCTTGTCAACCTTTCATTTCAGGTGAATGAATCTGGACACCCAGTTAACTTCTCCATGCCTCCCCTCCCATACACTTAAAAGGAGTGTATACAGCTTTCATCGAAACACACTGAACTACAGGATATACACATTACACTAAAATTGTCCCTGATTTAAAGTATGAAACCTTAAAATGTGCTTTTGGAAGAGTAAATAAATTTGTTTCACAAATGAGAATCCCAAAAGAGACTCAATGATTCTCCCACTTTATTTACATGTCTTTAAAAAAAAACCCCAAACCTCACTCTCTTCTCACATTAGCCAACTCTCCTAAGGCAAAAATAACAAGACAAAATTGAGACATACTTTCAAACATCTCTTCTATTGAAGAGGACAGAGGAGATGCCTGGAAAGACACTGAACGTGCACACACATGCTGCTGGGCACATCAGCGCCGGTTAAAATCACCTGCAACGGACAAGGATGCTCTGTCACTTCACTGTGGGATAGAAAAGAAAATAATGCTGCCTGTCCTCTGAATCAGCAGAGCAGTTAATACTGAGCTTAGTTAGGGCCATTTTAAGGAGGCCAGGAGAGGGGGAACGGACACCACCACCACAAAGGCATTTGAGCCCAAAATGACTCTACTGGGGACACAGTAAACGCTGTCACCTCAGTCTTCACGGCCTCTTCCCTACAAAGTCCAAGCCCGGAGAGAGGACTGCCCGCCCGCGGGTCCGCGGCAGGCGCACACCAGCACCTTCTTCTGTCTGTGACAGCCGCCGGCTGCTCCCGGTGCGGCTCCGCTCCCGCTGCTCCTCAGGGTGCCTGCCCGCGTCCACGGGGAAGGTGACCCGAAGCGGAATAGAAAACCAAGGCGACGCGTCCTGGCAAGCCACGAGCCCGCGGCTGCGGGCAGGTGGGTGCTCACTGCGGGGCTGCAGCGGCGACCCCAGGCACCACCCCTCCCGGCGCTGAGCGGTGTCTGCCCCGCGGGGCGGGACCCGGGCGATAACGACAGCGGACAACCGCCCCCCTTGCCTTACCTGCCGCCGCGGTGCCGCGCTGTGCCGCGCCACTGGACCTGGGCGCCGCCGCCGCCGGCACCGCTCCGCCGTCCCCGGCGCCGAGCTCCGGGCGGGCGGGGCCGCGCGTCACACGGCGGGGGCTGGCGCGGCTGAGGCGGGCAGCGGGGAGGGAAGCAGGGGGAAGATGGCGGCGGCGGGGCGCGGGCTGCTGGCGGCGGGGCTGCTCCGCGGGCGGGTCGCCATTGTCACCGGCGGCGGCACCGGCATCGGCAAGGCCATCGCCGCCGACCTGCTGGCGCTAGGTGGGCGCGGGGCGGGCTCCGCAGGAAGCCCCGGTGGGGCAGCGGGGCCAGGCGGGTGTTGGGAGGGCGGATGGAGTTCGGGGGGCCGTCAGGAAGTGCCCGCGGGCGGTGCTGCCTTTCGGGGGCTGACGGCTCTCGGGGACGGTGCGAGGAGCCCGTGGGTGGGACATTGTGACAAGATCAGCAAGGGGTACGAGGCGAGGTTCATGTGGGGCTGTGCCTTTTGGCCCGCAAAACACTCGCTATTTTAAACACAAGAGGTCAATGAGGTTATGTTAAACCAGGACCCTTTCTCTCAGACTCTCCCTTCAGTGAGTTCTCGTCTTGCTTTAACTGGAGGGTTTACGAGGTTGTTGAACCTTGATTCTTACAGAGCAGTATCTTTAAACTGCTGCCCGCACAGTTACATCTTAGAGACGCGGTGCTTCTCCCGGTGTCTGCGATTTCAGGAACGTCCTGAAATTGAAGAACATCTTCATGATGCACGGCGTAGCTTTTCTTTCCCCTCTGAATGCAGAGAAGTGGTAAAACCTACAGTGAAAGGCAGTCTCCTGACTTTCTGATACGAGACCAGGAGAGGTAGGAATGACTCCTACATCCACCTTTGCAACACCTTTCCTGCAGATTTCAACTCTGCTAGGGATCATCGGCAGCAGGCTGGGTTTGGACAGTTTATTGTCACCATTAGAGTCAGCGCCTTCAGAATGCCGGCGCTAGCGTTACACCTCTCGGTGTCACACTCCCGTGGTTTGCCTTGTTGGAATGTGCACCGCTGCACTGCATAGTAAAGAGCTTTCTTTGTTACGCTGTGCTGGGAGACATCTCTGTCTTTCCTTGCCTTTCTACCCCAGCTTTCCACTTGCTTTGTAGAGCTGAATGGAGGATTAGTTCTGTTACCTTCGTATTATTGGGGAACCGAGTATTTTTTTTTCCAGGTGTCCTTACATGCTGCTTTAAAGAGGTGCTTTTTACCATCACACACTGTTGGTTGGTGATGTTACCCAGTTACCTTAAAATTGTGCTTAATTTGATCTTTGCTATTTTTCTCAAACAAGATACAACAACAAAAGTGTGTCCGTAACAGCCTAAATAGAACACAATAGAAAACAAATCTATATAAAGCACATGAGAAAAAATGAAGAAAGAGCTATACAGGGCTCAGGACTGACTGAGTAACCTTCTTCACCTGTAGACTTGCTGGTTACTCCTGACAAGATGATGATTTAGGAACTATTTCCATGTATACTCTGCACTTCAGGTAAGGGGGGCTGGTTTTTACAGGCAAAGGAGCAGTGACCCGTAATGCTAGTCATGATGAACATTGTTTATATAACCAGTCTCCTTTGAGGCCTTCTGGGCAAATTTATACTTTTTATCTGGAAATGTGTGCTGTTTTCCCTGACCCTATGAGGAAATGGTGTGGTCATTCTTTGTGAAGAAAATTAAGTGACGTTTTCAGCTTGCACACTATGTACCAAATGTTCTTCAGTGATTAGAATCTCTCCCTCTCCCAGTTAGTACATTTAGCAAAAATATAGTCTCTTACTGGACCTTATTCTATATCAATGTGTCTGTTAATAAGCACTTAAGTTGGTAAATACAACTGGGCTACTGTGATTCAGTATTTTGTGTTAACTGGTAATTGTGTGTGGCATTTTATGAACTTTGCTTTAGTTAGGTTGTGCAAGTGAATGGAGTTCTTAATTTAGAAAAAACCAGTGACTACTGTCTTTATATGTGTTGTTTTAAGATGGTCACTAATTAAAGGTGAAGCGCCTATTCCTAAGGACACATAGTTGTAAAGCTTTCCCCTGGAAGAATTAAACCCCTCTATTTTTAATTTTTTTTTTTAAATATATGTTTCATGAGACAGCCTGAGTCAAATGAACAGCTTGCTGCTCTTTCCTCCCTCTAGTTGTTTAGAGTTGATTCTGGTGTTTGCTTGATCACATGAGAGGCCAAATTCCACTCTGCAGCAGAGGAGGGAAAAAAACCCACACCTGGCAAGATGTTAACTTTTTCCTTTTTTTTTTTTGGCTGGCTGAGGATGGTTTATATTAAAGCAGATGAGAAGCAGACCTGATACGAAGAAGAGATTACTTCGGCTGAAATGCTAAGATGGAAGGAGCAAACTGGGAGCAAGACCTGCTTGGCTAGTAATTTGCTTATCCATTGCATCATATTGCATGCCTGCTGGATTTGCACTAGGAATTAATTTGGTGTCCTTTCATTTAGTCTGTGTAGTAGCAATTGCTGAAGCCCTAAAGCTGTCCTGCGTCCACTGATGTGGAAAGAAGATGAAGAAATTAGACTGGTTGTAGTATGAGTGCTTGACTTAAGTTTGGCACCTGCATTGTTTTTTCTCCATAGAATGAATCCTTCTGCCTCTAAATGCTGAAAAAAGGGAGTACTTGAGCTCCTGCCTTATTTTTTCTCTCCTTTCTGCAGCTAGAATTCTGCAGTGCCACAGGGAGGGCTCTGTTCCTGCTGTCTGTAGACTGCAGATAGGGATTGATCTTGTGAGGCTATTATCCTTTCCTTCAGTCTCTGCAGAGTTAAAAACCAGACCATTACATTTACTCACTGCTAGTCAAAATTACAGCCAGTTGTACAAGAAGATTATTTTTGTGGTTCTGAGAGCAAGCATTTTTTGTAATCAAGACCTGCAGAAACATCTTTAAATCACTTAATTGATAAATGAGGCAGCTGTGAGCAGAAGCAGCAGAAGTGATGTCTGAAAGCTGCTTTGCTGACTCTGCAACTCACAGGCTATCTTCTCTTCTGCAGGAAGGAGAGGAAATCTTGTGGACATTTTTTTTTAATTGCTCTTTTCCTGGCACAGAGGGATTTTTTTGCTAAGAAGCATCTGACATCAGTCATTTCTCTCTTGCAAGAATTTCAACACTGTGTTTTCTAGTCAGTGACTAATAAATGCACATCCTACAAGATATCTCCATGATGTTACTAAAAACCAGCGTAATTGTGTTAGCTGAATTATGTTTCATTTTGTCTCCACACACAGGTTGCAGTGTTGTTATTGCCTCTCGTAAATTTGACCGATTAAAAGCTGCTGCAGAAGAGCTGAATAACAGATTTGCCTCCATGAGTCCTGCCCAGGTGACCCCCATAGCGTGCAATATCCGCAAAGAAGAAGAGGTAACGATTAGTGACCTAGTTCTGGGGCTTAACATATCAGAAGCATATTGTGTATATAAATTCTCAGATCTCTAAAGATTTCTGGCCTTCTCAAAAGTAGCTTAGATCAGGGGAAAGGTGGAGCAAAGATCAGTAAATTCATCTGGATAGGTGTGCTTCTCAAGGAAAGACATTTGTTAGCCATGTAAGCAAAAAAGCATTTGTAAATATTGGCAAATATTTTTCTGACCACGCTTACATATTTCAGATATTTCTGGGAGATGCAGGCCTTGTAACTGGCATGTTCTGCAGTGAGGCAGAGCCCACTTAGCATGATTTTGTCACATTGCTGTGACAGAAGTGAGGGGGTGTAAACTTGTGAAGATGGAGACCTCAGAATAGTTCCTTCAAACAGGAAGGCATAGCATGGAATCTGAATGCTTGTGACTTGACACGAGTGCCCTGCATTGTCAGTTTGGCTTGTAGTAAAGCCAAAAAACCCCACAGATACATAATATTTTAGCCATGTCAGAAATTTTGGTTACAGTTTGAGGTATTTCTCATTGCAAACTCTGTTACTATTCAAGTTGATTTTAAATTTTTTTCTTCATATTACAGAAAAGGGAAGATAAGGGCAAAAGTACATAATCCAGGTTCTTCAAGTCTGCATGCACCTCCTAGTTCTTTTATCTCTGTAATTAAATATTTAAAAGCCCAACTTCAGGTTGGATTTTTAACTTTTTGAAGATAGCTAGAAAATCTTTCAGTAACCACTGATTACAGCATTTTTCTAAACCTCTCAAAGTATCTCTTAACCTAAATATTAATGACCTTCAGTAGCTATAAGGATGCTGGAAATATTCTAAGATATAGCCATAAAACAAAAATTAAAATTCTTCCCTTGTGGAACAGTTTTTGCCATAAAATATTTATAGTGATCTGCTCAGACTTTCTCTCCTGAAGGAGATGAACCCTGGGGCTGTGCAGTATGTCACTTCACTTA